TTTTTTTTTTTTTTTTTTTTTTTTTTTTTTTTTTTTTTTTTTTTTTTTTTTTTCTTTTACTGAGCTTATAATTAAAACTTGAAAAATTTTTTTTTTATTCATTTAAAAAATTTTTGCTATTAATTCTTTTATTTAAAAAGTTTTTAATTACATTTAATATAATATAAAAGTATTATTTTATTTCATTTTTTTTTTTTATTTATTTAACACATATTAAAATTAAATAAAAAAAAAAATAAAAATAATTAACAGTGATAAAATTTACTGATTTTCAAAACTATACCCATAAGGCATCTAATATGTACATAATTATAAAAGATAATATATTGAGCATTAATAGAAAATAGAGTAATATAATTTTAATTATGATTATAAGTTAAGAAAAATTTCAAAGTATAACATTAGTGATAGAGTTATATAACAAAAGAAATTTTGCAAATATGATATTTATTAATTGAGAAAATATCTTATTATATTAATCATTTTAAAACACATTAAAATATAATAAATATTACTAATAATGATTTAAAAGAAAATTAGGTAACTTTTTCATGTTAGTACTTTTATACATTTAATGTGATATATTTTGTAATCACAATAATTATAATTTTGACAAAAAGAAAAGTTTTTATAAAATAAGACAAAAAAAAAAAATAAGAAAAATAAAATAAAGGCAAGATGAAAAACTTTAATATAGGAGAAAATAATAATGAAATAAATACAGAAATAAAATCATCTAAACAATATCCCATAGTAGTAATGGGCGATAATAATACTATCAAAGAAGAAATAAAAGGATTAGATTTATCGGGGTCTTCTTTAAAAACTATAAATGTTGAAGATAATGATAATACGAACAGCATGTCTTTATCAAAATTAAGTAGTATCTGTGAAAAGAAAAGAAAAGCTGAAATAAATGAGGAATTAAAAAGAAAGAAAGGAAATCAACATACTGAAAACAAGAATGATGAAATAGAAGAAGATATTACTAATGAGAGAGATAAAACAGAACAAATGAACGAAGAGTTTGTTAAGTTAAATTTAATTATGCATAAAGGTTACAGCAAAAATTTTATAAATAATGAAAATGAAAAAAATAAGATAATTGACACAAATATTAGAGAAGTTGAAGGTGGAAACAAAAATGAAACAACAAAAAATAATAAAGATGAATTAATTGAAAACAATATAAATAAAGATAATATAATCAAAAATAATATAAATGAATATAATGTAATTAAGAATGATATAAACAAGGATGAGACTAATGAAAATAATGTAAATGAAGATATTGTAATTAATAATAATCTAAGTAAAAATGAAGTACATAAAAATAACATAAAAGGCAGTGAAAATATAAAAAAGATAATGGAAGATTGCCCAAATGTAAAGATAAATTTAAAAGATGATATACATGAAAAAGGAAATTACAAAGAAAATGAAGACGATAAAGACAAAATAGAAAATTCTAATTCTGAAGTAGATAAAAAAGAAACAACAGGAAATTTAAAATATTTTATTGATTATAATAAGTATAGAAATAAAAATAATGTGGCATTTTCAATGAAATATAAAGATAGTTGTGTAAGTTTAAGTAGCGATAAATTAACATGTTATGGAGATAAAGGGTGGTCAAGTGTTTTTGTAAATAGTGGTGCAGATGTTGGTAAATGGTATTATGAAATAAAAATTGAACAACCTATACAGAATTTAAATTTTTTAGGTTATAAAGACAAAGTAATAAAAGTAAATTCATATATAAGAGTTGGTTTTGCATGCAGATATATGAGATATGATTATCCCATAGGAACTGATAAATATAGCTACTGTGTTAATAGTAAAAATGGAAAGATATTTAATAACTCAGTAAGTTATGATTGTATGGAACCACTTAAAGTTGGTGATATAGTTGGATGTTATTTAAATTTGAAAAATAAAAATACTTATAAGTTTGACCCGAGATCTGATAAAAAATTATATGAATATTTACAAAATGGAATTTTATGTGATCCGAAAAATCCGCCAATATTAAAAAAAAATTATGGTTCCTCAATATTTTTTTCTTTAAATGGTCAAATAAAAAAAAATTCTTTTGTTGATATCTATGAAGGATTTTATCACCCTTCTGTTAGTTTATATATGGGTGCATGTGCAAAAATTAATTTAGGTCCTCATTTTACTTACAAATATTTAAAAGATTATAATCCTTGTATACTTATGGAACAACCAAGCATTTTATAAAAAAAAATTATTCATAATTTAGAATTAAATATGCTTTTTTTTTTTTTTTTTAAATATATATATATATATATATATCTTTTTTTAACATTGTAATATTTCAGATTTATGTACAATTTTTTTATATTCCTACATAATTTTTATATTTTCTTATTTATATTTTTTTAAATTTATATTTTTTTGTAATTTTGTTTTTGTTTTATTTTAAAGTAATAAAATTTTTTATATTTCTTTAAAATTTTTTATTTATTATTTTTCAGTAAACATTTTTCATTTATAATAAAAGATATTTTTTTAAAAATTTTAAAAATAATTGAATATGTTTTTTTAAAAACAATTCATTTAAAACACCATAAAAAAAAAAAAAAAAAAATAAAAATAAAAAACAAAAGTATTAATGTGGACAAGGGTTTGAATAAGAAAATTCCCATTCAATTGTTTGAAAAAAAGTATAATGAAGGATAATATATATGAAATGTAAAAAATTAAATGTTGGCCAATGATCATTAATAAAATAAATTTCTGTAAATTCTGAAACCTTAAAACAAAAAAAAAAAAAAAATTTTAATTAAATAAATATAATAATATTCATATATATATATATTTATAGCTTCAGTTTATCTTTATTATATTATTTTATTTTATTTTATTTTATGTTTTTTTTTTTGCTTAACTTGATATAACATAAAGTCAGACAATCTTTTCTCTCCTGATGTTCGTATTAAAATATTTGGTGGAGGTAAGTCACTTGTTAGTAATTTTTTGTGATAATTGTATCTAAGTTAAAATAAATTATAAATTAAAAATATAAAAATTGTACACATAGTAAAAGAACTTTTTTTTTTTTTTTTTTTTTTTAATGCTATTATAAGTTACGATATATCCATTTCTTTTTTTTTTTTTTTTTTTTTTTTTTTTTTCTTCTTTACATATTTAATTGTTCTTCATTTAAAAAAGAATATTTTCCACAAAAGCATTTTATTTCACAATTTGATGTTGATTCAATATGTTCATTTTTTATTATATTTTCTGAATGTTCGCAATTATTTTCATTGATATAATTTTTTAAAGAATAGGAAGAATAACAAATATTTTGTTCTTCTAATAATTTTTTATATGTGTCAAAATACAAGTTAGGCATAAACTTGCATAAACTCATTTCATTTCTACTCGTATATGAGAAAAAGATATTTAAAATTAAACTATAAAAAAAAAAAAATAAAATAAATAAATATATTATTATGGTATATTTTAATAGTGCACTTAGTACATATAGAAGATAATTCTCATAAATATATATATATGATCATTTATTCAATATTCTTATATTACTTACTTATCAAACTCTCTAGTTTTTTGTTCTATATCATTTATAATTTTTCTATAGAAATCATTAATATAAGATAAGTTTCCTATTATTTTAATCCGTATTCTATTGTTTTTAATAAAATTACTAAATAAAATTAAATATAGTTATTTTTATATTATTAATTTTATTTATTAATTTGTAAAAATAGTAGTTATTTATTAAATAGGCATATATATACAAATTAATATTTTGATAATGTTCCTACTTAAAAAAATCTTCATTAGATAGACAATGTAAATTTAAATAAAATAAGAAATATATTTCTTGTGGGCTTCTATTATAATTGAATAGTGAAAGTGAAAACACTGATAAAATCTTTATATTTAAACTTATGCATATTTCTATAATCTGTTTAAATAGAAAGAAAAAAAAAAAAAAAAAAATTATAATTTTAAGTTAATTATTACAATAAATACATATAAAATACATGTTAATCGTTTTTAAATATATCAGGATTCATATATTTTAAAATATACACATTTATATATAAAATGTAATAACTTTAATTAATGCTTTAGATCCCATATAATGACCTAAAGAAGAATGAAAACCATTATCTTTCGCAAATCTTCTATTACCATCCATAATTATTGCTTAAATTTTATTAAAAATATATATAAACATCAATATAAAATTATTCTTATATATTTTTTTTTTTTTTTTTTTTTTTTTTTCTAATTTTACATATATGCTTAATATTAATTAATCTCCTTAATAATGAAGTTATTAATCTTTCTATTCTATAAATAAGAAATAAATTCATGTGTTATTTTTTGATAGTAAAGCAAAAGACTATATCTTTTTATGTTTTTTTTTCTAATACAAATTTAGAGCCATTTTTCAAGAGATTAATCCTTTTTTTTTTTTTCTTTGAAATTCAGAACTTTCAATAATTAAAAAGAGTGGAGATACATAATATTTTTATTAAACGTAAGAATTTCCTCATTTATCTAAATTTAACAAGGTTTTTAAATGATAATAATTTTTAAAAGTATTTTAATTCTAAGAATTAAATAAAGTGTCATAATAATAAACATAAATTAAAAAAATGTATCATTTCAATAGGACATTATAATTTTTTTTAAATAAGATTTTTATTGTAAATTTACACTTTTTTTTTTTTTTTTTTTTTTAAATAAAAAAAAATATTTTATTTATTTATTTATATATGAGAAGATAAAATACTAAAATTTTAAATATTAGTTATTCATTAAATAAAATACATCTTTTTTTTTTTTTTTTAATATATAACTATATAATTGATTTACTATAAAAGTACATGTAAATTTTTAAGTGTTTCAAAAGTATGAAGTAAATCTATTTTATTTATTATATAACCTTATTTTTTAAGATGAAAATGCAAAATTTGATATATAGTTGTGAGAAAATTGGGGTAATAAATGTTAAAATTTATCCTTTTTAAATCATTAAATTTTAAAATTTTCATAAATTATAATAAAAACCATTTTAATTTTTTTTTTTTAAACACACTGAAAAAACTATATAAAAAAATTAATAATTTTTTTGAAATTTCCTCTTTATCTCTTTTTTTTTTTTTTTTTTAATTAAAAAGAATACGAAAATATTATTATATTCATATAAATTTTTATAAATTTTAGTTTTTAAATGTTATTTCTTAAAATTTTAACGATATCAAAGAAAATAATGTTCTTTTTTAACATTATATTACTAAAAGATGTGTTCACTTAACAAGATTTTGCTAAAAGTTTAATCAGATGTAAATATAAAACTTACACAAAAATTATTTATATTCATTATATATATATATATTAAAATTTTTATTATTTTATTTTAACATTTTTTTATAAATCAAATTATAATTAAATTTTTAATTATATACAAAAAATATGAAATAGCAAATTTTATTATACTTCTAAAACAGTTGAATTAGTAAGTGTATTAGAATCTAAAATTTCTTTTTATCTATATATTATAATTTTTTAAGTTAATTTTTTTTTCCATTTGTTTTTTTAAATTTTTTCAATTTTTACTAAAGAAAATATATATTTATTATTCCTTGAAAATTTATTAGGTATTTTATATTTCTTATTATTTTATATTTTTGGATAGACGTAATATAATGAAAAGCTCGTAAGATATATATATTTATTAATTTTAATTATACATAATATCTAACTTAAGTGACATATGAAAAATTAATTCTAAAACTATAATTAAGAGTATTGAAACGATTAATACAATAAAGCAATTGTATATAAGTATCTCAATATAAAAGAAATTTATGTAAATTAATATTTAAAAAAGCAGAATAAATGTTACACTATTTTAATTTTTGTAAAAAAAATTTGCAATTTTATTTACACAACTAAAAGGCTATTATTAAAACAAATTACTCATATGTATTGCAAACATTTTTGCTGATAATCTTAGGTATAAAAAAAATTTACTCATATAAATAGGTATATATTAAAAAAACTCAAAAAAAATAAGAACAAAAAAAAAAAAAAAAAAAAAAAGTATATAAGATGGATTGTCTTACATCACTATACTTGTATATATATTTATTTCCGAATTGATAATAAAAAGTAAATATTTCCCTTATAAAACTTTTGAATTTTAAAATAAAATATAATAATGCCAAATGAATAATTCATTAATATTTATCTTTTATTTTCATAACAAAATAAAAAGAATATGTTATAAAAATAAAATTTTTGTCATTTTTAAAGAAATATTAAAATTAACAATTTTTTTTTTATTTTTATATGCTCTTTTTTGTAAACACAGAAAATATAAAATATGGTCTTACATTGTAATATATTTTTTTTATTTTATTATTAAACAACATTCTGAATAAATAGGAAAAAAAAAAAAAAAAAAAAAGTGTAGATTTATAATAAAAATGAATATTTAAAATATGCTTGAACTGAAGATATAACAAGATTGCCATTTATCTTTAATTATGTTATATATTTTGATATGTTTTTCTTTCATATTTTGTAATTTTTAAAAGACAAAAAAAGTAAAAAAGAAAAATACATAGAATTTAATAATACATTTTTTTTTGCTTTTTCATAAACAAATATGTTCATTTCCGTGTAATTTTTTTTCGTAATTAAAATTTTAAAATAAAAAAAAAATTTTTTTTAACGGATTAATTTAAAACTGTAAAAGAAAAAAAAAAAAAAAAATCTAAAAATGTTACATTTAAAAAAGCTTTTATTAAGTTTTTTTATATTTGATTATATCAAAATAAATACACTTATTCTTAAATATATAAATTTATAAAATAAATTAATTTAGTCTAAATATAATTGATGTATTAATTAGATAATAAATGATATAATAGAAAAATATAATATTAAATGCTGTACTGAAAATATTAAAAGATAAAATGGCATGATATATTGTTAACATAATAAATCTGATAAATACACTCTGCAATAAATATATAAAAGTAGAAAAATAATTAAAAAAAATTTTTAAAATAAAAGATATTTACATGATTTGATGATATGTAACTTTATTATGTATTTTTAGAAGTAATATAAAAAGCATTTACTAATTGAACATTAAAAGGGGAAAAAAAAAAAAAAAAAAAAAAAAAAAAAAAAAAAAAAAAA